CGACTCATTTGATGTGCAAAGCACCGAGTGCACGCATAAGTACATGCAAAAGCACCAACACCACATCAATCACCTAGCCCCTGCTTCAAGTTGCAAGGATACATTCACTTTTGGAGGGGTGAGATCTGGGACACAGCTCAGGACGAAAGTTCTTCCTGTGACGGTATCAACATTACTAATTTACTTCATTGCCCTTCGCAACTGCGCCACGACGTATTCCGTCTTAGTGCTTATGCCCCCACTCTAAAATTTGCAGACGTGATTCGTTAAAGGGTGTGTAGGATGGCATGGGAAGGATTGGGCATGACGAGTGAAATCATTAAGTACATAAGTACACTTGCGCCTCTTCATCGGATCCTACCTAAGTCTTGATAATTTTCTTTTGTGGGGGTTAACTTGTGGCCTTCAAAATCCAGCAACTGCCCCCCTCGGGTCGTATTCGTCTTCAGAAGCCGGCGTTGGCTTCGTACCCCAGCATTTAGATCGATATGAAGCTCATCATAGCGGGTGCAAGCGGCTTTGTAGGAACGGAGTTGCTTAAACAGAGTCTTCGTATCCCTGACTTTAAGACAGTCGTTGCTCTTACTCGACAACCGCTGAAGATACGAGCAGAAACCAGCCCCGATGTCAACCACTCAAAGTTGAAAAACATTGTTGTTGACGGTTACGATCAATACTCTGCCGAGACCAAAGCAGAGCTCGCCACTGCTGATGCGTGTATCTGGTACGTTTGTTCAAGGGGCAAGACTCACATGCCCCAAACTTGAAATCGGAGCTTTCGCTAAAAGAGATATTCCGTGGCGCAATAGGACAGTGGCCATTACACCCTCAAAATCAACATTATATGACTGGGATGAGATTCATCGAGTTTGTTACGAATCACCTCTTGCCAGCTTTCGAGCAATCCTAGAAGCCCGCGGCTCGTCAACGGCTTCCAATAAAAACACGCCATTCCGTTTCATGTACATGAGTGGTGCCAAAACCGAGAGAGACCAGTCGAAAATTCCAAGCTTCAAGCCTGAGTACTCACTTTTGCGTGTATGTGTGGATTATCCCCCGCCTTCTCCTTGCTCATTGCGACCCCGAACCTGGCTCCGGCTTGTGATAGTGAGATTTCTGTACGATCTCGTTCATCATGCTTTGAGGTATCTCTAACACCTTTTTGTGATAGGGCAAAACTGAAACCGCGATCTTGGCTTTCGCTAAAGAGCACGAATCACAACTCGATGCCTGTATCGTCAAGCCTGGGCTCATAACAGCGCCTAACGACTTTCTGAAGATGGCTCTTGCGTATACATTGTGGTGGACTGTGTCATTGCCAAGCATTGGGGTCAGACAAATCTCGACTGCAATGTTGAGTCAGTCTTTATTTGGCTTTGAGAAGGACACGCTTGAGAACGACGATCTTCTTCGTTTGGGGGAAAGCGAACTGTGAGCTGGGCCCGTTTAGAACCCTTCTTGCAAAACTTTTGGATGTTACGATACCTCTTAATTCTCTAAGGGTCTTATACTACCTATACGAACACATTCAACCAGCAGCTATATTAGCCGTGTATCACTTTGCTTCTACAAGGAGTTTGCGTATATGTGGTATGGATGTATTTTTCAAGATGCAATTACTACATACATTTGCTCAAAGAAACCTGATGGAATCGGCCTTCTCGAAGGCATACGGAACACTTGGAGTTTTCCATTCAGGAGATAATTCCTTCTCTCCCTCAAACTTGACCACCGGTCTCAAAATACTCAAGCGCTTCTTGTCAAAGGCACTTGAATCAAAGCTCTGAAACCATTCCCCTTCAGGATTGAAAAAATCACCAAGAACTCTTGTCCATCCATTCCAGACAGTCACTAGAAGATCCAGGACATGATGAGCACCCCTCATTTCTCCCCATTGGAAGCGCTGCTTGCATTCTTCTACAGTGCTTTCAGGGTAGAGGCCGACGTCTTCGGTGAGAGCAAATGCGTTGACACCCACAAGACTGGCGTGAGAATAGTAGCTTCCCCCCTCAGTTGCGCGTCGCTTCAGTCCTAGCATTGCGCCAACCGCGCCCAAGACGCCAGTGGACATGTCGGAAATGGGCAAGCTAGGCAGAACAGCCTCGTTATTCGAAAGTCCCAATGATCTTCCTGTAACATAGGCAGAGCCGGCAGCAGCATCGGCGATTTGTTGCCAGCCGGGTCGCTCGGCATAATATCCGTCCGGTCCATAGCAGTTCTCGGTGACATACACGATTCCTCTGCCACGATCACCAGCCATCTTTAAAAGATCATTTAGGCCAAGGCCAAATTTGGGCATCTTGTTGATGCGGAACCCCTGGATGAACACATCGCAGTCGGAAATGAGCGTTCTAAGAATTGAAGCATCCTCCTCTTTTCGCAGATCGATGGCGATCGTGCGCTTACCAGCATTCAATGAGAGCTGCATGATGTTGATGTCCGGAAGGTGGGGAGGGTTGACGCGGATTACATCTGCGCCGTATGAAGCAAGAATGGTCCCAATCTCTGGCCCGGCGATAACTCGGGTCATCTCCACAACCTTGACCCCTGCCAAGGGTCGTTTGTCGTTGGGGCTCAGAGGCGGAAACGCGATCGGCGGTGTGGGCATCGTCTGCTCCTGCTTCTTTACATTGACCAGAGGGTGCCTAGAAAGGGACCGTCCCATCTCAGATTCGCGCCACTGCTTAGGACTGAAGCATATACTGCCGCAGAATCCATCTAAGAGATTTGTGACCTCCATTTTCTCTGGGCTAAGCTTTGAGGTGTGCTCAGCAATGTGGGCGGCCGCCTCATCGTTGGAACTGATGGGTGCTGATGGGTCAACACCGATAGATCGCAGGACTGGATCAGCATTCATGCTACCGTGAAGAGAGTACCATACTTCAGGATCGCTAGTTGGGTAGAGGCCAGTCGCACGGTATTTGAGGGGAGTGTCGGTCCAACCCCGTTCCCAATCAGGCAGAAGGCTCTTGAGCTGGCCCTGCTTGACCATGCTGACAACATCCACACCATCGAGGAACGCAGTGGCTATGCAGCCAAACCAGACAGCTGCGTGTGTGGTGTTGACGGAGATCTGTCTGTCCTCCTTTCTGACGCCGCGGATGGCTAGAATTTCATTTGCAAGCACGCCGGTCATGGCGTGAAGGGCGGCAGCGACAGAAACTGCCTTGATGGGACCGGGGATGACGGGGTACGCCTCTCCGGTGAATTTGACTCTGGAAAGAAGACGCTCATCTTGAGTGAAGCCCGGAGTTTGGCTTGCTATGAGACGAAAAATCCGCTCGGTGTCTTCGGGTACAGGGGTGAAGGTTTTGTCTGTGAAGGTGCCCGGACCGTAAACATCGGGAATCCTTTCTGATGCCATAGTGACGGGCAAATTTGATAATTATGGAGTGTACGAGTCTGAGCAGGGTGTATGGAGCTGTGTTGCTTCAGGATGGGACTTTTGAATGTGGTATGTAAATGAGTTGATGAGGAGGAAAGGTTGGTTGGCCAAGAGGGTGGTGGATTTAAATATTGTGTCCTTCAACAGCCTTCGCCTCAAGGGATATGCGGTTGTCAGCGACGAACCTCGCGGATATAGAGCGGAAGGAGAGATCAGGGATTTTGGAAGGACCGTAAAGTGACGCGGTGTGACCGCCGTCGGAAATATGGCCCCCTAGAGCATTGCGGGAATATGCAGCACGAGGCCGAGGTTGTGGGGAAGAGGACGGGGAAAAATGACGTTGCTCGGACTCATATCAATGCCCAGTGTGAGCCGAATGCTGCGGGAATGGGGTCCACATCCCGGGTGCGATATCAACGCGAAAGCCGGAGGTCAAGGCCGAGGTCTCAAGCAGAAGCCAGGATTATTAGAATGGCTAGTACTTAGTACTTACTTACGTAGCAAAAATGACGTTGAGTCTGAATGGCGATCATATGTGGCCATTCCGTATCCCGCATCGGTGTGATGTTTACCTAGTTTCTCTTGGAACAGAGTCATGTTTCAACTCGTGGAGATCCATTTCAATGGAAGTTTTCTGGAATATTTAGCGGCAGTAACGTGGGGCCGGGAGAGCCAAGCTCTGGCGATCCGGAGTTGGCGCGTGAGTCGCGGACCCGCCACTCTGATTCCGCGCGCGGAATTATGCCCGTCACCCCGTACAACGGTATCTTCATCGGTGTCCACTCGTCGGCGTTGTGGGCTCTCCACAGCACAACTATTCGGAGATCGAGACATTGAGCCCCAACATCGGCCCGGTAATCTTCTTCTCCATCTCGGAGGCGCCGGCAAGCAGGTCTCTGTTGCATGTAATCACGATGACCCGATCCCTTGATTTCATGACGCTGGCTTCGTTTCCAAGATCAGCCACCGAAGGTAATCTATAGATGCTTGCTATGGTGCTTTTAACCATAAATGTCAGACTTCACCTTTCTCCCCGGCGACCACGCTGCTCCATCCTGCTTCTCTCAATCTGGCAATCGTTATCACCTGTAATACATAACCATCGTTGGACCAAGATACCGCAACATAGCAGCCTCTTCAAAACTCACGCCGTTTACTCAGTTTTCGAAAGAACTCCCCTGTCCATATTTCCACTCTATTCTTGAACATGTCACATATTCAAAAGGTCGCCATTGTTGGTTGTGGCTCTATTGGAGCCTCTTGGGCTGCTCTTTTTCTAGCACAGGGCCTCCAAGTATCGGCTTTCGATGTCAACCCTGCTGCCGAAACGTTCCTTCGATCCCTTGTCACTGACGCCCTGCCTATTCTTTCGACGCTGGGTCTCGTCAAGAATGCCACAGCGAAAGCGAGAGACATTTCGTTCACGACGAACATGACGGAGGCTCTCGTGGACGCCGATTTTGTGCAAGAGAACGGACCAGAGAAACTGGATTTCAAGCGGAGATTGTTCAACGACATGGCGAACATTGTTCGGCCAACCACAATCATCGCTACGAGCAGCAGTGGCTTGACTTGTTCAAGTATACAGCTCGGTATGGATACGCCAAGCCGGCCTGAACGATGCCTCGTTGGCCATCCTTTCAACCCTCCGCACCTCATCCCCCTTGTGGAGGTAGTCGCCGGTAGGCAGACATCATCTGAAACTGTCAGTACCGCCATGGAGTTTTACGAAAAGATGGGGAAAAAGGCAGTGCACGTTAAAAAGGAAGTCGTTGGTCATGTTGCCAACCGTCTCCAGGCAGCCTTGATGAGAGAGGTCATGTACCTACTGCAGGAGGACGTTGCCGGGGTTGAGGACATTGACAAAGCAATGAGTTATGGCCCCGGTCTTCGATGGGGCGTCATGGGTCCAAACCTTTTGATGCACTTGGGAGGCGGCGAAGGCGGAATCGAGTACATGGCGGATCATTTGCTGGGTCCCTTGATGTCTTGGTACGCACCTGAAGATCCTCAAGTCACTGAAGAATTGAGGCAAAAATGGGTCTCGGGAACGAGGCAGACAGTGGATGACAGGGCTTATAGACAACTCGCGAAGCAGCGAGATGAGGAGTTGGTACGACTCCTGAACGTAAGGAAAGAGTGGGATAGCTATGCAGAAACAGGCAAGGACTCGATCGCAGAGTAGCATGGAGGGTTGAATCACTGCATGCGAGCTTTCGTTACTCTCCATTCAGAGCTTGTTCTTAGATATCCTTGGCATAAACTTGGAACTACAAATGCTTCGTCATTTCGGCTTGACTGAGCCACTTCATTTCCATCTGGGACTTTCGGAGGGTAAGCAGGTAATTCCTTTATTCCAACGATGCATGGATGTCACTTATGAGATGAGCCAGAGCATGCACATTGCAGCTTAAGTAAATGCCTAAATCGTGGGTGGATGAACAACAGTACAGTCGCCGAGTGCCAAAAGCCAAGGAACTCGCGCAAGTTTTCAGCCGCATAGAATCCGAGTGTTCGGTATGACACGTTCTTTGCTCCCCGATCTACTCTTCGTTAGTAGCAGTGATCTGCCGATTCTATCAAACGTCAATGGCTTCTCTACCGGGGTGCCATGTGGGCGGAACAGGGGGTGGATACCAGGTTAGCTGATGGGGAGGCTCCCTGACCAGCGCGGAATCAATCCCGTTCAAAAGAGGTCGGGTCCGTGTTGCATGACAACAGCGTGGACCTCCGGACACAATAACGCTGTGCGCGTGTCACGAAGACCGAAGTGCGAATACCGACTTTGTCGGGAATACAGTAGTGGCCGAGAGCGAATCGACGCACAAAGCAGAGCAATGACAAAACTACGAAAACGAAATCTTTTCCACTTCGTCTAATGATCCGAAGGCTTTCGTGAAGACAAATACGCCCCCACATAGGAAGTGCCAGGTCACAAAACAGTTTCTTGGCCAGATATTTAATGCCAAAAAGATGATTGACCCAAGTTCTTTGATCAACTGACTATCTTAAGGTAGCTTGCTACATTGCCATCCGACACCTTAATCGTAACCTTCGTTGAGCAGGCGACATGAGTTCTCAAATCCAACAACGCCTCTACATCCTCGACACTGACCTATCTCACCCTCCCAAGAGTCGTCGTGGGCGCATCTTATCATGTCTAACAGACGGAAGCGACCTTCGAACAGTAGTCGACAACATGGTATCTCTGCCCGACGGGATTGTGATCGATCATGCCAAAGGTCATATGTACTGGACCAACATGGGATCTAGCTTGAAGTCTAACGACGGCTCAATCGAGCGCGCCAACTTGGATGGTTCAAAACGACAAATCATTGTGTCAGCAGGTACCATTGGTGTCTTTACGCCCAAGCAAATCACTATCGCCAAGCAGAGTATGAAGCTGTACTGGTGCGATCGGGAGGGCATGAAGGTTATGCGGGCCAACTTCGATGGGTCTGATGTTGAGGTCCTCGTCTCGACCGGCAATACCGATGAAGAGAGGGTGGATCAAAGAAGGTGGTGCGTCGGCATTGCTGTAGACGAACAGCAAAACGTCTTCTATTGGACACAGAAAGGACCATCCAAGGGCAACCAAGGGCGGATTTTCCGCGCACCTATACATGCCTCTTTCGAGGACCGACTCCATCAAATCGAGATGGTGATCAGCGAGCTTCCCGAACCGATTGATCTCGACATCGACGAGGAAAGTAGCGTGCTATATTGGACAGATCGAGGAGATCCTCCTGCTGGAAATACTCTCAATCGAGCCATGATGGCTGATGGTGAGAAACAGGAAACTCTGGCAATACGATTACACGAAACCATTGGTCTATCGTTGAACCAGCGGGCGGGAGTAGCCTACGTGACAGACCTTGCCGGCGGCGTCTACTCTGTTGATACGAAAACTTACAAGAAGACTGTGTTATTTTCCGAGTTGGGTGACATTACGGGGATCGCCCTTGTATAATGCCTTTAGGATAGCGAGTTTGTTGAAATCAAATTGGAACAACAAGGGCAGATAATCTAGCCTAGGTTCAGTTTTCCTCAGTACCGTGACCTTCGGAAGGCATTGGTGACCCAAAATGAAATGTGTCACTGTGATGAGGCGTATCACTAACACGAGATAACTCGTAGCTCAATTCTCTAATCAAGCACGACCAGAAGTGGACGACCTCATACGCTGATTCATCAAAGTCCAATAAGTGGTCGAGCAACCGCTAGAAACTCTTCAATGTTCTGCAGGAAGATGCTAGGCTGCTCCAATGCCGCAAAATGCCCCCCCTAAATTCAAATGTTAGACTGTACAACGTGAACACAAGAGCTACTGGTGGAATCGGGCATACCTTGTCATTGCGCTTGTAAAAGACAAGATTTGGATAGGCCTTCTCAGCCCACGCTTTCGGCAAGAGAATGTTCTCTGCCGGAAACACCGAATAGCCGAATGGCTTTTCTTTAGATGTTGGAACAGAAAAGAGAGCATTCGCTGCTGCTGCGTCCGCAAGAGCTCGATAGGGATACATGCTTCGTGGGAACGTGTCTGTGTACCAGTAAAAGCTCACCATTGTGAGAATTGTGTCAACAGGAAGTGGATAACGGGAATCGGGCCACTCGAGAAGCTTTTCGCCAATCCTAGATAATGTTAGGCGGCGACAATATCTTTCACGTCACGACATGACTTGGGGCTTACCAGGCCAACATGGCAAGTGGACTTGATGATAGAACGAGGCCAATTGTCGAGGGTCTTAGACCATGCTCGAGAATATACGACGACCCGGTAGCGCTGAAGTTCAGCATTCGTTGTACGTGCTGTGCCTCAGCTTCGGTGATGTTGACCGTAGTAAGAAGCTCGTTCTGGGATGATGGAGCAAGCATATTAACTGCCTGGCTGTCAGTACAAATTTGAACACCCACCAGAAGTACTGGGCTAATATTGTTTACTGTGGAAGGCCTTGCACTGTGGATGATTCGCTGACAGAATTCTGGTGAGGAAACTCCCGATGTCACCGCCCTGGGCAACATAGCCTGAGTCGAAGCCAAGAGTGACCATGAGCTCGTTCATCAGCCTCGCCGCCGTTTCAAGCTTGAGTTCAGTATCGACTAGCCCACCGGAAAGCCCATAGTCCGGCAGAGAGGGAACAACGACATGGTAAGGAAGAGTATCTGGGGTATATTTGCTTTTCAGAATCTCAAGCAATGGAAGGAACTCGAGAAAAGACCCGGGCCACCCATGCAGAAAGAGTAGCGGTAAGGCATCGCTTCTTTTGGAGTAAAGACCGACGAAATGGATGTTTGTTGGCCCAACATCGACGTCGTCAATGGTGATGTTGAAGTTGGGGAAGCTGTTAATGCGGTATTCTTGCTTTCGCCAGTCAAGCTCAAGCCAAGCATCTTTTGCTTCAGCGAGCCAATTCCTGGTAGTGCCAAATTCTTTCTTGTTGTGTTTGTTGTACCAGGTTTCGGGACCGATTTTCGAAGCAGAGAGGAGCGATGCGAAATCTTCGATCCTGGAGTCAGGAACGTGAAGATTGAACTCCTCCGGGGGAGCCATTGTGACTCTAGGTGTCGTCTCGAGGGCCACGGTATACTGAAAAAACGTCAAGAAGGTGGGCAGCAGTGGCCACATGTTCTGCGGTTGTGATTGATATTAAGTTGACAGAAAGACTATGAGTGCAAGGAAAGAAAATCAAAGTTCATTCATCCGTCTAACGCACAACCTTATATCGGCAGTATAACCATATAGTCGGATCTAATCACCATCCATGCTGTTCTTTCGAAAACTGTTACCAAATGGCGAACAACAACAACTTGGCCACTGAGGAAACCCGGCCAACCCCCACTCAGGCCCATGTCAATTAGACTCGGAGCAATGTCAATGCCGCTTTCGATTCGGGCGCTATGGTATGGAGGTAATGATCCTTGGACTGGAAGGCTTTGGCGAAGGCGAGCGTGGGTATGATCATTAATCACGCCTGGTCATATTCGACCGTCGGACGCGGGGCCCGATGCGGAAGACTGCCAGTCTGAAAGAAATTTGTAAGTCGTAAGCATTTCTCATCCAGAGGGAAATTCAAGCCAATCAGCTCTCGCTTTACGCCCTCGCAAATTAAATGCAAACTGGGAAACTGTTGATGCGACTTGTGGGATTGTGCCAACTGAAACAATTTGCGCTGTGAGTTTCGCCTATGCTCCCCACTGTCGACGGCGTTTCCTAGATTCCGAAATGCCCATTGCATCAGCCATACAATATCAACCTGACCACGTTTAGTCCCGGACGAATGAGCCCCTTGATCACTACGGTAATGCAGATAGTCCCAAACCCCCCTTGAGACATGAGAGTAAACAAAGATGAAGAACAACACATGAGTAACATGTCCTTGTCTGAATACGTGGGCTCTGCGATGGCGAGCTGGGATATTGTCTCCGCCATCCTACCTTGCTACCTTGGTAATTATATGTCCTTGACAGGAATTGATCAAGTAGACGCGCCTTTCAGCTGGTCACACAATCTTTATAAACCGACAGCTCAAACTCAATTCAGGTATCTACTCTATTTCGATGAAAAGTTAACGGTATTCAGGGAGGTGCATGCGTCATCGATCCTACTCCATTTAAGATTGGACTATTCTCAGTGATGAGTGTGGAGCACTTATAAATTGAGAGCTACGTTGAGAGAAAAGACAGTTGGAGATGCTGCCTTGGTAACTTTGCGACGCCCTTTCCGAGACACTATCGACCTTCCCACGACTTTTGAAGCATTTCCTTCACTCCAGTAATCTTCAGGTGTGGAAATGCCTGATTCAGAGCCCTATCCTTTGGAAAATCGAAGAGACCTTCAGTGACCCAGAAACCAAAGGTTGAGAAAAGCTGTTGAGCCCACTGTTTCGGGAAGTACGAGTATGCAGCAACCTGACCTGGTAGCTCGGTGACTTCGCCAGATTGGAGCTTTTGAACGCTATCGTATGTGACATGGAATTTCTCCCCTATCAACAATGAAAGTCTTGGTAAGTCGATGAGCATGTACTTGAGGGAACTAGTTCTCACCTCCACGAGCCTCTTCGGCAATTGCAACGAATTCTTCCCAGGTCATTTCGTCTCCAATGAGATATGTGTCGTGCTCCCATGTGGCTAGGTCGAGAGCCTCCACGACGAATCTGGCGACGTCTTTGGTGTAGGTGAATGTCACTTTTTGTTTCCCGTCTCCAGGTATGGATGCTTGCCTGTTGGCCATGTCAACAACAAAGGTTGTTTGCGGAATGTAGGTCTCGACGTGGGGCATTGCGTAATAGTCGAGGAACCACCCGCAATTGAATGCTGTCCATTCAAGTCGCGAGTTTTCCAGCTCTCTGTAAGAAGCAATGTGTTGGAATCCGTGTGGCAAAAGACTCAAATACCTACAAAGACTCTGGTTAAGTAGGTTCGTACTTTTCAGAACAAGCACGCAGCGACTAAATTTTACTCACTGAGTCGACGGTCTGACAGCCCAGTTGCTACTAATGAAACGCTGCGTATAATTGCTCTTGTCGGCTGCTTTAATGAGGTTGATTTGAGCCTTGCCAACCCCAATGATGTGGAGGGCTAGAGCTGATATCACGGTGTGGATCTCGTGGGTTTCCAAGATCGTCTGCAGGGACCTTTTGTCGTCGTAATCAACTGCCACAACAGGAACTCCAATTTTATCTTCTGCCGCTTCCTGTTTACGAATGACTTTGGTGAGCACAAACGAATTCATGAAAGGGGAAAGCCTTCTTGGAAGCACAATCATGGCGTACCGTACGAGAGAGGATGATGGTGGAGTGTCTTGGATCATTTTCAAGTGCATCCACAATGCTACGCCCAACGCCGCCAGTTCCTCCGGCAATGGCGATGTTCACCATGTTGAGGTTCGTCGTACCAAACGACACGTGATGTCGGGAAAGAATGAAAGCCCGGTTGTGGAAACCCAAAAGAAAACTTGAATCTGGCAGGTTGGTTTGCCGTCGTATTGAGTTCGGACCATGTGCTGGACTTCTGACCAAACACTTTTGAGGACGGTTAGAATTCAGTTTAATAAGCGTAGTGTTCGGTCGAACTTCGTCCGTATAATTCCCCCACAAGAGCGTAGATGGAGCTGAAACGTGACATCCCCTGCCCGTGCACCTCAGCCGCATAACGGTTAACAAAGCAGGTGGTAAAACTGGGTGTTGCAGGACGGATTGATAATTAGACCGTCGGTAAGATTGAAATCAGCTATCCATGTAAGTGTCCTGGCCGACTGGCCACTTTCACCACGCATCACCTCCTGGGAAAGATTTTGCACGGGCTATTGTATGAAAAGGCCAAGACAGTCTACAGACAATATATAAACCTATCCGTAATCATCTGAGAATGAATCGAAGTTCAGACCGTCGTGTGATGACTCACCCGAAGCTATGAGCCTAATCGCCAACGGTCGCGCTTGTTGCAATAAGATCACTGCAATGATCCTTCATAAGTGGTTTACTTTGACGTAAATCTACCTCAGGCTGCGAGTACACCAGCACCGAACTTCCCTAGTTCAATGGTAAAGATACCGTTAGGGTCTCCAGAAACTTCCAGCACAGCGGGCGCGGAAACGAACGTGGGGTTTTCGACCGAGTTAGCGTCATCAGGACCGGCAGTGTTTGAGGTAAAGGAAGCCTTTACGTCTTCCTTGCCAGGGATTTGTATGCGAATTTCGGTCGAGTCAGAAGCATAGTTGGCTAGTTTCACGATTACTTGGCCCTCTGCCTTCATGCTTGCTGCCCACCAGACTAGTTAAACAAGAATTTCGCGGTCAGCTGCGATCAATGGCTTTAGGGTAGTGAGCGAATTGAACTCACCAGGGTTCGGCTCTGTGTCAGCTGTAACGGGGACCACAACATCGCCGCCATGGTTATTGGCGAACATCCTTTTGACATGATAAGATGGAGTATAAACGATGCCATCGCCTTTGTTAGTAAAGGGAATGAGATTGGGCTAACCGAAGACAAGTCAGCATAACATTATATTACGAGGAGAGAAATGGTTATCTTACCGTCCACTGGCCTTTTACAGGGTCATAATTCTGTAGTGTAGGTGCGTAGGCAGCTAGTCTGATCACATCCGCGTTACGCTCCCAACCCATCATATAGACTGCCTCGGAGCAGGCACCTCGCATGTCGAACCATTTGACGCCCCACCTGGCATATTCACCGATGAATACGGGATGAGCTCGATCCCAGTCGTCATAAAAGTCATATGCTTCGATGTAATTCTCCGGCACATTGTAGTCGTGGAAGTCAAGCCATGCGCCTTCGGGAATCGGGTCCGGCAGACAGGCTCGGTCAGACGTGGAGGTAAGGACAGTTATTTGAGGATACGTTTCCTTAATAGCATTGAAATATTGCATAAATCGCTGCTTGTAAGACTCACAGCCGCCGGCGAGGTTATCTTCGTTTCCAACCTCGACGAAGTTGAGCTGGTACGGCTCTGGGTGTCCAAGAGACGCGCGAAGTGCCCCACCGGACATGTTGATGTCACCAATGACGAACTAAGACGTTTTTCAGTGAGACTCCCTGATGCGTAGTAACGCAGGTAGACAGACAACATACCTCAATCTCACGGATTGCGTCGTCAACATACGGCTCAAGCTCATCTCCTGCTAATGGTGGGAGCCCCGCAAGTCCGAGACCGCCCCATACGTCCAGGATAGGCTCCACAGACATATCCTCACACCACTGGAAGTATTCCATGAGGCCAAGGCCGTCAGTTTTGGCATATCCCCAAGTCCCTATATAATTGCCAGTAACATCAGTCGATTGCCTCACATCGCAGAAATATTAAAGTGCAAAGAGGCCCTACCTCAACGTCCTGGTCGAGATTCAAGAGGACCTATTGTCTCATTTCATTTCCAGCGGTCATGCGGGCCGCCCCCCTCACTGCATAATGACTGGTCAGTGATTGGACCTTGGACTTGCACTTGATAAGGATACCAAGGCAACTCACAGGCTGTTACCCCCGGGGAACCTCAGAAATTGGGGGTTGAGATTTATGAGAGCTTCAGACAAATCAACTGTCAACCCGTTCTCTCTACCTTTGAAAGTAGGGGGAAATAAGGTCGAGTAACCAAGATTGATGCTTCCGCTAGTCAGAGTTTCGGCCAGGATCTCGAAAATCCAAAGATTATTTCCATCGGCGGCGGCTGTGGTCCAGAATCCGGTTTCATATCGTGTCCATGAATCGGCCTTGGAGTCCACGGGAATGATAGTCCAGCCATGTTCGACATCAGTCTCATTGCTTAGAAGGCAGATCTTGACATCGCCCTGAAATCGCCCCGAAGCCAAAAGGTGGTATTGTAGTATCTGCCGTTCACGATGATGCCTCTGTATCCAGGGTTCGCAACGCCAGTAAATCCACCAGCACCGGGGGGGATGGTAATTTTGAGGGATGAAGTAATGGCGTCAGTCAGCGGTGCTTCGGCATCATGGGAGATTTCCGCCGCGCCATAATGAACTGTCCAAGGGTCGAGGGTGGTTACACCGCCTTGAAACGCGTTATTGCTCAGTTGCTGTGAATAGAGACCTATCACCGTACTTCATATTTTAGCCAATTGTTCAATTTTTTTGATGAGCCTAGTGTCAACTATACCTCCGTCGCCGCTATTGCTGATGTCTTCAAACATAAGACCGTGGAGCAAATGGCTTAGCTCATGACTAGGACTTCCGGTGTCAACCTGAAGCAGGAGTGCCCCTGCCAAAGTAGCTGTAGCTACGAGGCTGAAGAGTTGAGAACAGTGCATGGCTTGGCTTGAATTCAAGGTCTTGAAAGATCAACGTTGTTACTGAGGTTGACTCGGTCACAAAACCGATAGCATTCTGACTATATATCACCGATCAATATTGCCAACAATGACTCGAAATACGTAAGGTACATTTATTGGATACGCTCCAATGGCGGTTAGACGTCTGGTACATCATCTGGCAACTGTCAACTTTCGAGTCCCGATTACTAAAAAGAAAAAGACAACAGGGTTGAGAAACGAATGAGAGGCATCATTGTTGCTCGTCGCCACCGTGATTGGTGGCTAAATGGAGTAGTTCGGTTAGAGATCTTTCGGTAGATGTATCCAAATTCCCGGAAAGATCACAGAAGTTTCAATGCAAGGCGAATTAGTGGAATTGCCAAGACTGAAGAGTTCGTTCATGTGGAGGCACATATGACAAACAACTGCCCAGGTAGCCATCATGCCAAGGATGCATTGTGAAGACGTGTAAAGTTAGCAGGAAGTCGTGCTCGCTTCTAGCCGCAACCGCTAATATACGCTCCTCTCCAAAGATTGCGGGTAACTTTAAAGGCAAATTATGGAGTAACTAGGAGCATCCCTTATGTGACACGTGAAGATGTCTTTCCCCCCGATGGGCGCACACAGGGGTTTTGGCAGCAAATACAGAGAAGTTACAGCACAAACGAAAACACAACTCTACTTTAACGCTCACATTTGCAGAATCTGATTACAGCGAAATACAGTACATCTCATGATCTTCATTTTTTCGCGTCTTGTTCCTTCGGCCCGCTTGTCTCCTGGCTTAGCTGGGGGTCTGGTCTCGTGGCAGCCGACAGAGCCGCTCCAATGATGGCCTTGCGTTTGACTTCGCAATGTAAATACTCCCCAATGAACAAGAACGATCAACTTTCTGTGGAGGGATCAGTCGTCTATATTCAGAGCCCTGAATGGGGATACACCGTCTCACATGAATGACTGTTATTATGTGTCGAGGTTGCTGAAAGTCATGCGGGTCCTGGTAATTGCCCGCGTATTAATGGCCTAGAGTCGCGACAACGTCGAAGCCATCATTCTCAATAATTTCCATCTCGACCTATTGCAATTCCAGCTTTATAAACATAAGTATCAAGGCACTTTCTTCTACATCAGCCTCTTTCAAAAGAAAACTTGAGGTTTATGGCTAAGTAGGTATCAAGTGTTTGTGGTCTCCCAGGATATCTCTTCGTGTTCGCAAAGAAATTGTTTGCGCGAATTTTCGAGCAAGGCAGCTGACCGCTCGTGCAGAGAGGAGCCTAGAAGAAAAATTCAGGGGAAATTCGTGGTAGACGTAAAGTTGGAGCCCAGTAAGTTTGTTAGAAGCAGAGAGGGTGCAGAGATTGAGTCACAGGTGGATGTTGGTGTTTACACTACAGGAAGCAGCATTCCTCTCAAGTAGAACCTAACCTCTCTCGTAGATTATCATGCTAATTAGATGATAGAATGGTTATTCTACCGGAATTATAGATCCTCGGTCTCCCTTTGCCGGTATCCCCCTGGTGTTTATGACCGAGACTTACGTCCATATCTACTCAATCAATAGCAACACCTGCCCTAATCCGCTCAAGTACGCTCTCACTCTCGATGTTAAGTCTAAGAGCGCCGTGGACTCAACTCATTTGCCGCGCGCAATGCTATACTAGTGAAAGGACTTTCCGAACTGGTCAAATTGTAACCGTAGAATTGGCCTATCTTAAACCAGTCACGTAGAAATCCAGCAAGTCCCGAGTCAATCGACATATACGTCTACAAGAACGGCTAAGAACGTCGGGCATCACTGGGGCAACATCCTAGACTTCTCAACTGATCAGAGCAGTAGCTTGTACCCCTGGCAATCTCATTCTGACGAACTATATGAAGAAGACCACGACAATTATCACGGATGGGTCCGCCTAAATTTGGAAAGGTTAAGGTGGCTGGCCGTAATTCCAATCTTCCATTCCTTGACACCTAGCATCTACTTTAGGCCAATAACACCTACATGTCGTGATCTAATTCTCCTCTCAAACTATTCTGATAGCTTATTCGTGGAAGCGCAACCCAAAGCCCAATATTTTTCTGGCTATCCGCTGTACCCTTTATTGACAACTGCACGGGGTTAAGTCTTGATGGTCCGACACGCTGAAATTACATGAGTATCGCAGAGATGGCTAGAGGTACTCGCAAGGGCTTATTGGGATACATGCTGTAACTGTTCACCTGGGTGTGATGATTTGTTTACACCTCCTTGTGCGCTGGAACACGGAATTGTCACACAATATGCTTGTAGTGGCCGGGAGATCAATGTTCCAGACGCCATATTGAACAAGGGGAAAGAAGAGACTATGAGTAACTTGGCGAAGGCAAACGGACTAGAAGATGTTCGACATTGCTAAGCAGCCTAGCATTGTCTTTAGAGACGTGGGATGCATGACACCCAGCTACAAGATCGCGGTCTTTACGGCTGGGGCTAAACTAATGATTCATTGTCTAAGGCACAATGCCGACTTTATTGGCAAGATGGCTTGAACCGGAATAGGGTCGATATTGAATGAATGGGGCAACTTAGCAAGGTCAGCCGCTGATGTCTGAAAGCCAGTAGCCATTCGGGCTCTATTTGCAGCGAGAGTAGGAAATCAACTACGGCAGGATGGGTGAGTCCATATTGTCGTGACGAGTCTCGAGACTGGAGAGGTGACAGCAAAGACTGGGTACGAAAGCATGCCAGGGTTTGAAGGTCGTCTTGTATGGATATCTAAGCATTAGATCCTATCTTACACAAGTACCTCAGAGATTGTCTTGAGGTAGTATCATAAAGCCTGTCTGCCTATCTATCTCTTAAGACCCAAAGGATCTACATGTTTTCATTTCAGGCAGCCTAGTTACCAGTGGAAACGCATCCACTCACATTTGGGTCTTTGGTAGACCGCGCCCACCGAATTGGACCTTTGGTCAACGCTTAAGAGTGCTGCGTCGTCACTCAGAGCGTGTCGAGCTAACTCCGATAGAACCGCCCAATAAGGGATGAGGTTTTCCTGCACCGCCAGCAGCAGCCTGTGAGTAAGACGGACCGGATCTTATCATAAGCACCGTAAACCCTACCAATACCCACCCGAGACCGACAGAAGTGGCTGAGGCGGCGGCCGACCCCGGCCCATACGCCTGGAGATAATTAGCCGGACTTGATTTTTTGGGGACACTGTACCTGAGCACTACCTACGGTCGTAGGCATACCTGCAATGGCTGGCGATGGCTGCGACGGCTTGAATCGAAACGAAGTGTATATATACGCAGTGAAGATACCTCTCAACGATTTTGAACTTGGAACATTATCAATCCAGCAATTTCCAAGATATCTACTTTGTACACTACACCTTAAGCACCATACCCGGTCAAAGCTTGATAACTCAATCTTGGTCATCGTCAACATGAGCTCCACTACAGCCACCAAGAGCATTGTCGGAAAGTCCATTGGGCCAACCGGCTACGGACTGATGGGTGAGTTCGTCAAACTCAAAAACAGGCATCACAAGACTGTATTCTTTCGCTGACAATGATGCACAGGATTGACTCGTCCTTGGGACCAGATTGACTTCTCTGTCTCAACCAAACTGATGAAGACTGCGCTCGAACAGGGTGCCAACGTTTGGAACGGGGTATGGTTGCCATCAACAAAAGTCATCTTCGATGTATGATGTACTAATACAGAAGCAGGGAATCCACTACGGAACTCCTGACAGAAACTCCCTGCACCTACTCAAACACTACTTCGAGCAAAACCCGCAGGATGCCGACAAGGTTGTCCTCAGCATCAAGGGCGCCTACGACGGCAAGACCCACATCCCGGACTGCAGTCCGGAGGGCATCCGGGCCTCCGTCGAAGAGGCCGTACGAGTCCTCGGTGGCTCTAAGAAGATTGATGTCTTCGAGTGCGCTCGAGTCGACCCCAATGTCCCCATCGAAACCTCCGTCCAGGCTCTCGCGGAGCTCATCAAGGAAGGCAAGATCGGCGGCATCGGCCTTAGCGAGGTCAGCGCCGCGACCATCCGCCGCGCGCACGCCGTGCACGCCATCGCGGCAGTCGAGATCGAGCTGAGCATTTTCACGCCCGATGCCGTAACCAACGGTGTCGCCGAGGCATGCCACGAGCGTAAGTCTTTTGCCATCCTAGGCCGCATTCTCACAATATAGCAATGACTAACTTGAACAACTATTGTAGTCGGCATCGCTCTCGTCGCCTATAGCCCCGTTAGCCGCGGCCTCCTCACCGGCGAGTTCCGCAGGCCTGAAGATCTCCCCGCCAACGACATGCGCCGCATGTTGCCGCGCTTTAAGTCGGATGCCTTCGTCCAGAACTTTAAACTGGTCGAGGCGGTCGAGAAGATTGCCGAGCGCAAGGGTGCGACGGTCGCGCAGGTGGCCATCACTTGGGTGCGGCGGCAGGGAGCCATCCCGATTCCCGGGTCGACAAAGGCAGAGCGAGTGGTGCAGAACTGCGTAGACGTGGAGCTGAGCGACGACGATTTGAAAGAGATTTGGGCGCTGATTGAGAGCTTGCCCATCACGGGACAGCGCTATGGTGGCAAGTTTGAGCAGTATCTCAACCAGTGAGGGTTGGCCGTTTTTCCATGCTCCCTGCTTGATTTGCAACAAATCTCAAAGTCTCTAAAGTAGTGGAAATGCCACTATAATATACCACCTTAATGATGCACCAGACGATGGTATTCGCTTGCTGTAATACATACTTAGGCCAATGCCTGAAGTATCTCCTTCTCACACGCTGATTTAGAGTCCACAACAGTGTCAAAGCGCTGGTGGTATACCAGCAGGGCTGTCCTTTCGCCAGTCGCCAAGACGGCGACGATGGTGTTGGGAGAATGTGCCACGGCCAATTGTCTATCTGTTAGGCTTGTCCATCCATTACCTGCCTTATTGTGTTCTGATTCAGAGATAGTGCGGCATATGTTGCCTGCGGTTCATCCTCGACTTCGATTCCTCTCAGCAGATTGAAACTATATGCAAGACCTAATGTGATGCTCTCCACGCCCGACAGGATCAGGGATATTAGACATGCTGGATTACCTAGGTGCCTTTTGTAACGGCCCACTGGCCATAGCCACGTGACTGCTCCTCAGCTGGCCCTACTCTCTCACTGGCAGGTGGTGAAAGCTTCAATGCCCGTCCATTCACGAGCCTCCGAGCTTCGGAAGACCCAGTCCGTCTCACCACTAATCGATTACATGCTTTTGCTAAGTATTCGACTTTATCACCGTGGGTTCACTCTGATTTCCTCCCTCTCTACCCCAACCCCAAAATTGTGGTACCGCTCTGATACCCCTCTCAGTGTCTTTCGTTCATCTGCATTGGCACATAATCGCCATCATGCTTTCTTCAGGCTTGCTTTCAACCTATAGGCAATACAAACGCGACACTGATGCCGTTGCTTCGTGGCTAGCTACCACCGCGATAAGCTCCGGCTACTCCAAGCCCCTGAGTGAGCCACCCGCCAAGGCTACATCTTCAGTGCCCACATCTGAGAGGTTGAAGGGCAAGGCGCGGAAGGAGGCTAAGAAACAGGCTATCATCAATCCATTGCAGGCATCTGAGGAGAAGGCGCCTGAGGATGCGACGCCGAAACACATCATCGCTATCAAGGACTTCCTGCCACTGGCCCAATTCGTCGCGGCAAAGTTGTCCGACTCCCTCAAGGTCCCAGAATCATTTATGTCATCCCTCAACCGCGTCATTGAAACTCGCAAACGTTTTTCTTCTATGCTAGGAGGTATTCGACGATTTCAGGACTACCGTGAGGACAATAAACATGCTTTCTTTGTCACCGTCCTTGAGCGCGTTCGCGATACCTTTAAATCCCAGATGGGCGCGTTCGACGTATCTGCTCTGCAAGACGCGACCCGCGGCATCGAAAAGGCTCTCAAGAATGGTTCCAAGCATGTTGACGGACCCAAAAATATGTTTGCCGTCCTAGACGTGTACGAGCCATCTGAGGACTTCCTTGATGCCCCAGATATCGAGCGTCAGGCCAAGGTTCCTGAAGTCTTCATGGCTGAGGAAGACGACTCCGATACTGCAGCCCTCTTCATATACACTGCGTACCTCAAAGATCTTGGTCAACTTCGTGAAGAGATCCTCCAGCTCTGGGCCGAGTACAGGTCAGGAGATAGAGACCTCGCCGCCGTTTCAATTGCCACCAATACCGCTCTGCAGCTTGCACGCAATATGGAGCAAGAAATTGCCTCATCGATGGAGAAGCTTGGAGGTGCCATGGAAGCCATTCAAATGTTCTATGAGGCTGCTTGCGCAGCTCAAGGCCAAGACCCTCTTGATAAGCAGTGGGGTGATGATTTGAACTTCAACTGCTACCAGGACGCCTCCGACCTCTACTTCACTACTCTTAGTCTTCTGCATGCCTTCAGCAGCAGCGAGTCGCCCTCGAACATTCCGAATTACAATGGGAAGTTCGGTTGGTACAATGACAAGAAAAGAGGAACCACGGCCCGCGAGCGATGGGCAGAGGATGAGGCAGCACTTCTTGAAGTCTTCGCGGATCAAACCATGCTCTTTCAGCTGTTTCGGGGATCCCCGGTTCAGGATGAGTTCACCAAAGGATTGAAATACGTGATGGACACGGGTAAATTGGAAGTATGGCTATGCTTCTCCGCCCAAGTGTACCTCGACATTCTCAAGTCCCTCGGGTCCTCAGTCCGAAACGGCGAGAGGGATTTCCAGGGGTCCCTGAAGCCAATGGCAGACAGTGTCGAAGAGGCTCTCCGTATCCGTAGCAATCGAGAGGGCGCGGTCAGGGAGAATATGCAGGATCTTCACAAATTGGCAATCTTATGGGGGCCCGGAAAAGACCCATTCAACGCCATTCGCATTGCATCGAGACTTCAGACAAGGACTTCTAACTTCTTAGAACATCATCCGATGTACTGCGGCCTCTTCTTGCATTACGTCCGAACTCTCTTCCACCGCGTGGGGGCCGAGTATGCTGCGAAGCCCGGTAACGTGATGCACGGCATCCAGCTCTATCAGGCTCTCCAACAGGAAGGCTTTCTGCAAGACGGGGACGAATGGGACGCTCTGGATTCAATGATGGAGCAACAGGGCCGGACAGCCTTCTTCGTCGGCGATCCCCCAGTGAACCCAGAAGCGTATTTCAAGAACTTCGGACTCTCAAGAGGAGTCTCGGCTGCGCAATGGATCCAGAAGCGCAACAAACCTAATAAAAATCGCGTCATGACTTCTAAAGCTGGTATTCGAATCATGAAGTTCAAGGGGGTCTGTTCTTGTTTGTTTGCCCCCAGGGTCTTGGACAACTCGGACCCAAGAGGCCTGAACGCGGACGTCATTGATCAAATCCTTGAGCGAAGTGGCTGGCTCAACAAAGCAAGCAATGACGGCACCCCCACCGACCCCGAAAAGCCCAAGGTAAGATACGATGAAGCTCTCTATTCATACCACCAAGTGTTCTTTATAGTCCATATGTCTGACAATCTCCAACAGAAGCACCGTGCCCTCCTCCTTTCTGAGCTAGTTCGTCAAGTCGCCCTCGCAGTTCATGACGAGGTTCCCGAGCTCACTCTCGACTACTTTCACACCGACCACCTTTGCAAGGCTGTTTTGAAACGCGTGCGAGAAAACATAGATGTTAAGAATGGCGGCTCGATCGAGTCCAATCAGCTCCGTGCGCTTCAAGCAGACAACCCAGGAGATACTGTAGGTATCGTTTTCGCTGCGGTTGTTGGTCACGTACCTGTTCTTTCTCCAGACCAGAAGGCGCCTCTCCGAGAGGCAGCTGAAGCTTTCAAGAGCAAGCCAACCTTGGAAAATTAGTCGATCTTGTTATGTGTTGCCCGCACATGCTCTAGAGAACGAATCGTAGCCGACAGGTTGTTATATCCAACATATTGGTCAGCATCATTTTGAAGTATTCACCCATGCTTGTGCCTTGCCATTAGGAGCTACCTCATCTGCTAACACGGTGCCAAGCGTGTGATGGGATGCTCTTTCGATAGACTGCTGATCAGCGTATGCAGTAATGCCAGCTTGGGTTGGGACTCAGTGAGGTGGACAAGGTAGGATTGCAGCAATGGCGGTCCCATCGAGCAGTAATTTGCAACATATTCTATTGATTCGGTTGGTAACTCCATTCCCAATTATCATGTGCTCTGACATTCTTCGATTGAGGGGCGTCCACAGATACTTGAATATGGTAAACTAGTAAAAATAGACGACTACGTGAATGGTCCTCTACCAGTATCTACATCCAATACTTCAAATAGTCATTTGGCCCCCATAGACATCCTACAGACGTGGCGCTTTTGAATATTGACAACATTCAGAAGTCGCCGAATTCTGATTATGAAGCGTCGATTGATTGTCACGTTGGTTGGATCTCGGAACGTCGTTGGAAGGGTTGAAGTCGAAGAAACTCGTTGGCTTCAAGATGCATGACAACTTTTCCGCGGGCATAACAGGAAAGTCTAAGAGATTCCAAGCACGGTAAGTTTCTTCTTCGTCAGGAGCATAGGAAGAATCACCTCGTACCTTCGGGGCGTGTGACGTGTGTCAGACCAAACGAATGCCACAGAACAACATCTTCAGCCTCAACACTTTCCGCTCGTGCAGCATACTCTGCGAGGCCGGTATCCTTTCGGCTTTGATTCGTAAACTCTCCAGCAGCCCAAAGTTCGTCATCGCGGTACCGAGTAACCCAAATTGGCTTGGACGCAAAGATTCCGCGCCGATGATTGAAAGTCTCGGGCCCCATCATCAGCATCTGGCTAGGCGAAGCATGAAGCTTGTACCCAGCCAGCTTTCCCGATACCTCATTCCTGCGAGCCGGATTGACAATTTTGTAGGTGCGAGCTTTTGTTATATCGAGATCGTAACCGCCTGGTGAAACAATAGGTGTGGTTTCAAGTCGGAACGCACAGCCGTAGGGGTCGACTTCTGGATCCTCTCGTACAGGAATACAGTCCTCGTGTACAATTGTGTTCTTTCGTGCTTCATCAAGGATCGGATCTATTCGGACACAGAAAAGATGTTGATGGTTGACAGCCAACACTCCGGGTGCCACAACAGTTCCCCAAGGCGACATCTTGAGGTCGGGGCGGATTGGCATAGTGGAGACAATTCCGGTTGCTCGCACCTCGATGTGAATATTCGCAGCTTGGTCCAGAACATATGCCAAGATGTATTCGTAGTTGGCTACAGTGGAAGTGCATTGGATAACGAGCTTTCGGTCCCGGACCACGGAAGACTTCATGTTGCGAAAGTTTGTGTGTTTCCAGCCAATTCCATCATCGATCTCGTGCATGCAGACAACGTTCGGCATAACAACAGGTTCTCCTGTTGCTGAAACTCGAACGCCATCAAAGTAGGCAATGTGGCCTAAGCAGTCACAGCCGAGAGACAAGCTATTGGAAGTGAGACCGAAGCCGGAGTCGCCGAGGTCGAACGCTTGCTTCCGGTGGTAAGGGGTTCGAGGATCGCCGTAAGGTACCGTCATCTCACTCATCGATACTCGGTAAAACAGAGGCCGGCCTTCGTAACGTACGTCGTGCAGAATAGGACCCTCACGCAGAGACCAACCGAGTTGAAACTGCCATTTCTGCCATGATACCGTACGGTTATTAGTGTCAAATGAAGGCCCTTCTGGTTGGGCGACTTGTAGTGCTTTTAGGTCTTTTCTAAATACGTCGGATCCGAGAATATTTGCGCTGTACTCAACTGGCTTGACAGGTATCCAGGGTTGTGTTTCATCATCGATTCCATCATCGATCCCCAAAGGAAGCTTTTGCAGCTCAACTAGCTCAAGAGTTTGGGCATCGAAGATAGGAGCAAGCGGGAGTGGGATAGAGTAGTGGTTGGCCTCGTCGTCGTCGTTGAGGGCAAGATACATGTAACATTGGAAGAGACGGCGTCTCTCTTCGGCATCGTCAGTTCCGTAAGCCCAAGGGTCATTGAGCACTCGTGCTCTATATCGTATCATGTTAGCTAACTATGGCATATTGAACTTAGGGGACTAAGAACCTCACCCCTCGGGGACCTTTAGCTTAGCGACCTCGGCCAAGACATCTGGATGGACGTTGCAAGCGGTGGTAACGAGGTCGTATTCAACCCAGTCCACTGGTCCCTGGGCGTCAGGAAGGTTTTCGGTCTTCTCGAGGATTCCGCTGGTTATGTTGATGATTCCTCTGCTCATAAACTCCTTTTGCTTCTGTTGATAGTAGATCCTAGCTCTGCGATCGGGCACAGGGCCGCGTTCCAGGAGGTAAACCAAGGTCTCATCTTTCGAAGGCTCGGCGAGATCGATTACTTTGAACCTGATCTGGTCTCTCTGCAGGCTCAGTCTTTTTGACAGGATGCGGGACGCTTGACGCACTTCGTTGACCGAAAGGGGATCAAGGGGGTGTTTGGCCATGATGACAAGTTAACAAGCCTGACGACAGATCAGAAAAGTGCAGTGCTTGAGGGTGAAGATGCGGTTGCGTTCGATTGGCAGCACCAAGTTCAAATACTATATGTTTTCATACGAATATCTACAGAATTCAGTCTCATGATACACTACCTTTGAGCTTGTATATTCCCACAGATGATTGACTACCTAAAGTTGTTCGATTCGTGTTGCGGACTTACATGTTTCCCAAACGGGACATACTCCCAGCAGCGACTCACCACGTCCCAAAATGGAAAGAGGGGCAACCTGTCGTCTTCACGCGGGGTGAGAGTGATCCCATCCTAATTACCAAACAGAAATAACTTCACTCTCAGATCCGATTGCTTTGGAATAATGGCATTAGAACACGCGCATCACCCGGCAAACTAAGCGTATCTCCTGGCTTGAACAGGAAAGACACCCAGCCGACCCCGTCAGAAAGGACCCCACGTCAGCACTGTGAAGGAATACAGCGCAACGCGGGGTAGCCCAGCATGGCCACTATTACCGATCTTACTTCTTGCGGCAACCGCGACTAATTTAACAAGACCAGGTCCTTGGGAGATGGATATGCCGTATGTTCCCGAACTTCGCTTCTTTAGATATAATCAGAAGCTTCGTGGCCAAATACCAACCCACGGCAACTTCAACAATTTCATCCCACCATGTCTGATTTCAGAGGTGTCGATCTTACCGGTAAGACAGCGATTGTCACCGGCGCTTCACGGTGAGGAATCGACCTCCTTGGCCCGTCTTTTGACTCTTAGTTTGGACTACCGCTGATGTTCTTGATACCACAGGGGAATTGGCGCCGCGATTGCGAAACAACTTGGGAGGCGAGGAGCCAATGTTGTCGTCAACTTCGTGACAGACAGCAGTCACCAGCGGGCTGAAGACATCGTCAAGGACATCCAACAACACGGATCGAATGCCATTGCGATCCAGGCAGATGTCGGGAAACTATCTGGAGTTTCTAAACTCGTTGACGCCACGCTGAAGTTTAGCGAATCGGGCAAAATCGAAATATTGGTTCATAAGTCAGTTTCTGTTTTCGGTTTCTTTGGCTTGATGTTGTCCGTTATCTGTTTGGTTCTGATACGTTTACTGTACTTCTCAGCGCGGCTTTGGGTGTTGACGCCAACCTCGATGAAGTCACCGAAGACTTGTACCTCACCCACTTTGACACCAATGTAAAGGGACCAATTTTTCTGACCAAAGCTGTCGTGCCGCACATTGCCCGAGGCGGTCGAATTGTTTTTGTTTCTTCTGCAGCGGCTCGTCTCGGAGTCGCTGGACAAACCGTATACGCTGCTACAAAAGCGGCGAATGAGGCACTTGCGCGTGTGTGGGCCAAAGAGCTTGGTCAAGAGCATGGCATTACTGTCAATTGCGTCAATCCTGGCCCAGTGGCTACTGGTAGGCATCTCACATCCAAAACGCCCTTCGCAGGAAGACTGACATGTCCTACAATGTAGATCAGTGGAACGAAAGCGATGACCAGTTTAGAAAAGACATGGAGCCCCTGATTGAGTCTACACCGGCTGCGGCGAGAATCGGAGAAGTGGATGATGTCGCACCCCTCGTAGCATTCCTTTGCAGCAGTGACGCTCGGTGGACTACTGGGTCCGTCCTCTGTGCAAATGGGGGTTTGTATAACTAGACCAGAAGTACGCCGTCGACATCAGATGCGTCGATCAACGAGGAGTTGATTATCATTGCAATCTTGGGAGAACTCCGATATTAAATGACATATCACGTCAACTGCTGAATCATAGTTTGGCCTTTCCAGACACGCTGATGTGCCTGTAACTCTATTCAGTCCCTGCGTCGCTTCCGTCTGGTCTTTGCCAACCCATGTCTGAGTGGGTATTTTAACTATCACAGTTGGGAAGGCTGGATTACAACAATCAAATGACAGTTTCTTCTATGTTGAAAGCCTCTCTTTGGTATCTGCTCACTATCAAACTTGGCGGTTCTTGCCCAGATTTCAGTCATGTGGGTGTAGTAAGGTATGACTCATTGATAACTTCCTTCCGGGTACCGCGCTGAGCGGTTCGAACAAGTTGCATCAAGGTTCTCACCACATAGCGTGGACAGACTTCAAGGTGCCGGGACTCCGGCCTATTCATCAACCATATTATCCTTTTAGGCATGTTTCCACGCCGAATTTCTGAAGACTGCCGTTCTATAGCTTATAATTGTTCACTTCATCACATCATCCGGGAGTCTTATTTTGTGGTCTTGTGAGTTGGTGGGCCATCTTCTCACAACTCCGCATGTTGAATCAAAAGAAAAGATAAGCGTGTTGCTGCTGCATACTCTCAGAGCAGGTCTGTTTTCTAATGAGTATACATGTTGAACCATAGGATGATTCAGGTCTTTACTCACAAATTCCATCCAGGGAACATTCGTCCAGCCCCGGGTTTTCAGTCTTCTTTCCTCCCAAACCCCTTCAAGGACTTCCATCATGGCTGCATGTTGGAATCCCGTGGAGCGTCGAATGTTTTCAATGCAAAGGCTAGCGTAGTGTATTTGGTGTCTTTCAGATGTCTCGGTTGCCGCCAGGAATAGAGGGAACAACAGCCGCTTGAAGAATGGCGAATCCATTGAAACGTTTGCACAGCAGTCCAGAATTTTTGATACCGATGGCCTGATCCTCGGGTCTTCGCAGGGAATGACGAATGTATCCGGCCATCGTAAGATCCTCAGCAGACTAGCATGTCGAAACGCTTCCGCAAGCTGTCTCCATTCCGGATGTGATGTGGGATATTCGATCATGTCCAGATCGAGGCCGCGAAGAAAGCTCTCTGCCTCATTTAACTTGGTTTGAAAGTCGACGGTCGATAGTATCCCCTGCATGTTCTGCTTGGCTGCTGCTATTACGTCCCCGATCCGGAGGAATATTACTGCAGGACAGCCGACCAAAGTGTGCAAGGCTGCGTGTGGACTGGTGATGTTTGCAACACCTTTCCGGACGTTCTCGGAGTAGGTGAGCTTTTCGGCACCACTGAATCCTCTTAAGACATCCAACCTGATCAACATATTTGTTATCAAAAAGTTTTTGAGATCGGACACGAGTACTAGACTTGCCATGATAACGCAGACAAAAAGAATATGGTTGCTGCAGACCGTTCTGCCCTTCCTAAAGGGGATGCAATTCTTCCACAAAGGAATGACACGCCATTCAAATGAACAGCATGCGCAGATATTCCCAACTCGCATATCTAGACATCATGCATGGGATTGCTTAGCCAACAAGACTTGTGCTGTGGAGGAACTTGAAATGCATCATGGAGCTCACATCATGAAGTACCAAAAGGAAAATTATTGCTAGTGCAGCCTCTTCTTCAGCTTCTGTAAGTCCGTAGACTTCTTCCTTGATTAAAAGGGAGCTTAGACCGTTCAATGCAGCAACACGGTGTTGTAAGGCAGTGGCCATGTCAACCTGGTTAGCACCTGATGGTGATAGGTGCAGATGGCACGCGGTAAGCCCCAGGACTGCATGGAGAACACCTGTGTGATTATAGGCCAGTGGGAGGACATGTACGCGAAACGGGTTGTCCACGCCTTCAACGACAATTGTTAGATGATGGCTCAGCTCTCTGTCGACTACGAACGGTCGTCAGAAACGATGATGTCACATTGGCTGAGAGGAAATGGAAGCTGGAAGGTTCCGGGGGGGGTAATGAGCAACTTACAGTAAACAAGCAGTTTCTGGCTGTTACTCGTGAGCAGTAGATCGTCGACAGGGTGCCCAGTGATTGTCGCCGGTGACGGTGCGCCAAGGGATCGGTCTTGGGGCGAGGCTGGAGAAGCGCCTTGTGACAAGGTCTGGAGGAAGCGGCGACTTTGGCTTGGGTGATCTGAAGAAAGTGAATTTGGGGTCGATGTTGGTGAGCTCAGGTTTGGGGCCGGAGTAAGCTCGTTGGTGGGTAGGACATCAGGCTGAATGCGCTCTTGCTCCTCTTCTGGGTCCCGCTCGTTGCCAGCGGTTATCAAATTGGGCGTCTGTAATGATTCACAGAATTGGAATCGAGGAGGGTAGCCCTCACAGTGCAAGCCCTTTGACTTGCATCGATTGCAGACAGGGCGCGCGCGATCACACTTGCGGCACTTCTTTCTACAGGTTCCGCATGCTGGATCTGTTGACGGTCAGCGACGAAATCTGAGCGGGAGCTGAGGCATAATCGGGTAGTGAATCGCACGCTCAGAAATCATGAGCGATAGAATGTCTGGCTGCTGAAACTTGTTCCCAATCTGGCTCAACAAGACTCGAGCAGGGACTGAGTGCCCTCTAGTGCAGTTTCCGGTACAAGATTCAGAGCAAGAGAGGGGAGAACCGAGCTGACCTTTTCTGACGGCTTTCGAGCCCCTGGCCATAGCGACGTTGGCGCGCATTTCGCATCCAAATCTCGTGGTCCTTGTCGCGAGGTATGATCACCAAATTTGTACGCAACTATCCGACCAAATGTTGGGAGCAAGTGGAAGAAAGGCCGGCGGACCAGAGAGTCTCGCCCGATGTTGGGTTCATGTTGGTTGTTCAGGATTGGACGCTTGGGCAGACCCAGGTATTCCGTACAGCCGTAAACCTACCTTACCTTGCCGTAGAGAGGAGCGATACGTATTACAGCTGTGCAGCCTGCAGGTAAGCAGCATCCGCTAAGGTGGCAGTGGAGTCATGACAAAGGAATCTGAATTCCGCGCCCGGGACAGCCACCCTTGAGACAACGTGTTGTCCCCGGTCTGGCGCCTAATACTAGCACCCACATGATGTGAAGCACTACCAGGTCGGTCGAACCATGATCATCATTAGCTTCCTCTCATCTGCTTTTGATTTCGGGTAACTTTGGAAAGACTCGCCAAAGGCTTTGCAACTCGATACGATTCCGAATTACATCGAGTTGCCGTGATGACCGTTGCTAGTGAAGCCTTACGAATGATGCTTATGGCCGACACCATTTAGGAAATAACTTTCCAGCCATTTTTTGAAGGATTTCAATGGACCAGTATACAAAATGATCGAAGCCTAGTGCTTTCGCACCTAAATTTTGGCAACGGTGTGAATTTAATTATTCCCTCGATAATTCATTGAGACTTTTGATAACCGATGTAGCACTGTCCAGGTAGGCACTTCCTGAAGCAGCAAAGGACTATCCTCGACGGCCCCAAGCTGAGAAGCTTAAACAAGGCTTCCAACTCTAATATAATCCCAACTGACTGCGATTTAGTTGTCCATTAGAAGTCGGAAGGACGCCCGTCACCCTTTAATTCGGGACGGAGCACAAAGATTGGATCCATCTGGTCAACGTACCCACAGGCCGGATCGCTCATTGAGTATCCCATAAACTCCTGGATGGGTTGATCCAACATTTTTGCAACATCTTGGGGCACAGACAAGAATTGGTTCTCTTCCTGTCGAAGATAGCCTCGAATAGAGAACGTTGCAAACATCAGTCGTCTCTCATTCTTTGTTGTGTTGTGGCCTCCGGCATGGTACGCGGATGCCAGCATGATGAAGGCATCGCCTTTCTCCATCTCGGCGTAGATGCACTCCTCTACTTGAGGTGGCATGTGTCTATCAGTCCCCCTTCAAGATCATGGTATCAGTTCATCTTTCTTCCTAGGTCGGAGGCCAGTTTGACCGAGAACGCGTCGACTAATAGCGCCCTAGCGCATGGGTAAGGGACATTATTACTTACCACAAATGGCTCCGGGGAATGAATTGTGTTCCACCGTTCTCCTTGGTGACTTTGCAGCCAGCCACGAAGAGCCCAACAGCTGTTTCCCGGCTCTTGTCTCGCTCATCATCCCATTCACTCACCTCTTGATGATAGTTGTGGCTGATGTAGTCGTCTCGGTGCAAGGGCTGAGCTTTGCCCCCAGGCCCAATGCTCATAGCAGTACAGGAGTGAACATAAGGCTTCGACACAGATTCCTTCTTCTCGTTTCCCCACCAGAACCAACTTCGGGTGGTCAAGAAGTGCTCGCACACCTTTTGATAGACTGGGTTCATGACTTGTGTTTTGGCATACGTAGGGCTGAGAGCCAACAAGGCTGGTGCCCGCTGAGTCTCCTCTGTGATGATGTTCGTCAGCACAAATACATCAGTCCGTCTAACATGTGTCTAACAAATGTAGCTGACGTAGACACTATAGATACCTACTTGGAAAGAAGGAGCCATTCCATTCCACATCATTTTCAAGGCGTTCGCGGCATTCATCGTGAGCTTTGTCGACATCAGCGACAGGGACCAGATCTCTAACGAAAACGCCCCCGTCACGCTTGAGGAGGTAGATGATGTCGTCCAATGGTGTGTCTGCGGAGACCTTCTGGACCTCAGGACCATATTTAGCCATCATGTCGGACACTGTGGACGAAGACATGATTCGATTTCAATGTTCGAAAACGATAGGTATGTCGAGAACAAACAATGCACCGAGCTTAGTCGTCGCGTGCTCAGGGCTATGGGGACTTTGCAAAGAGAAAGTGGTTTATAAACTACGAGGATTTAGTGTACAAGAGCTCATGTACTCCGTATAACGCAGCCTGAGCATGATGGGGGAATAGTGTCCGTAGTCGTAAGTTGTAACAGGGCTATGCTTGCCACTCCGCACAGTAATTAGTGGTAAGCTGGCGGCCGAAGTTTATCCTTACATTCAGGGAGGTTGAAGATACTTCCTAAAAGGGAATAAGAACACACTCATGCGAGATGGGTGGGTGGGGTAAACAAGACCAGCCATGAGCATGCGCTTTTCATTCTGCACCATGTAATATGTAGCTAACAACTCCGGTCTAGCTCCGCACGGTTCGAGGCAGTAGAGAAACACAGAAATACCAACCTTCTATCTGCACCTATTGTCATCGAGACTGAGTCAATGTGGTGAGTCTGGTCTTCACATGACGACAAAAACTTAAAGTGGCATAGATCAATCATGTCCACCAGCCATCCACCAGCCATTTCAGAATGATCAAGTCCACAGATACGGCGGCGCCTGGTGCATTGTTGCAGTATATGCAAGCTTCATTAAGCTATTAAACACTATTGGAAACTGAGAATCCAGAGATGGGCCTCGATGCGGGGCCTAGACTAACATGTTGGGCGACCGTTTGCCTGAGAATATTGCGAGCCTGTTCTCCCCGCCCGGTCCCTCGATACTGCACCGCCTCAGCCATGGAAGGAGCGACATCGTGGTTTATCATTGCAACTCAGATAAGGCATGCAGATGAGCCAAGATTGACGGGATTTATTTGGTACATTGCAACCCCAATGAAGGTGTTATATGGTAGATCTCATGGGAAGTATAAAAACTGAGAAGAGGCTCGCAAATACCTACCCAGCGAGTGAACGCAACGTGTCGTACCAAATGTTTCTGATATCCTCTACAGCCTACTTCTATGAGGCATCATTCGAGAGAGAACCATTTGGAACCTTGCAACTCGTGAACCATAGCAAGATAGCTATTAATGATCGCGTAACATCAGTTCAGGGAAAGACCTGAATAAATCAGCAGCAGATACAAACCCTACCCTCCTTCCCTCTAGATCACCTGACCAAGATAGCATCTCCGACGGTACACTCGGCGGCTCAGTCGATCTAGACGATGCCATTTCGAGGGCTAATAGCAATAGCGTAGCCATATAGCGCCAGTTCAGCTAGATGTCAGCTCTAGGCCTAGGGTTCTCCATCACCAAGTCATGGACTGGTTACATAATACATTGTCGAATATCACGGATGGAACAGAACTCTCAGCTAATTGCTATAACAGAGCAACTTTCCATAAAATCCGATTTACCGAGAGCTGTAATCTTGCTTCTTCGGACTCTTGGCTGCTTTCGTGGCCCAGTTCATCACTACCCTTGGTCTAGGTGAAATTGTTCCAGCTTTTCCTGTAAGTTGACTACAATATTCCATGCTCCCAGAGCACCTCAGTGCACAATACTTTAGGCTAATCATTGATTTTACCGTAACAGTCAAGCGGTGGATAATATCACTTTTGCTACATCATGGCACCTACCATTGGCCAATATGAGACGATTCACGGGAAATTAGTTTGGATGGGTGCCAAATCTGGCTTGGTGGATCGTCACGTCCGTTGTTCTCTGGTGTTTCTCTGCATGTGAGCCCGACGAAGCTGATTAGATGCTGGCAGAAGCTTTATTAGGACTGAGAACGAAAAACACCACTCTGATCCTGTTCGCATACATTCTGCTTGTAAACTTAGGCTTGTCGAAGCCTCTGGCCCTCTACTGGCGCATTTCGAACCGAAATTGACTTTCTTCAGTCTGCGTCCCATCTCAATGTTGCGACCTCAGCAGTTTTGTTCCTGAGTATCAACGTATGTGATGCCACAGGGGTTCCTCCTGTTCCAGGGCCGGAACAAATGACTTTTTTCTCTCTATCTGAACCTGGGCCGGTCCGGATTCGTTTGTAACGTGATTTCCGTCCTGTGGGGTGTCGTTCCGAGGGCCTTTGTCTGCAAGCCAATATCGTTGCCAGGACAGCTGGGTCCATGAATTTCACCCATGCCTTGGGCTCTTGGGTATTGTGCTCTCGTCGCAGTTCTTTGAAACAAAAGAACTCCCAAGGGCCCATCATTGACTGGGACATGGCCAAGGCCCTCAGCTGCGCTGGCACAGCCGCGGAGTGTCAAAGAGACTAGATAATGGTGCCCCTGACGCTAGTAATGAGAAAGTTTTGGCTTCTTACCATTAAGAAGCGTAACAAGTGCACCAATGTCACACATGATTCTCATGGTCTGGCTGGGAACATACCTCACGACAGACTTTTCTGAGCTGCCACCCGCCTGCGTTGACGGAGGGGCAGCCCAGCCATTCCGAGACGAGGGTGTTGCTCTTGCTTCCAAAATGTGGCAGGGCGGGATTCGGGCTAGCCTTCACATTTGCGGTGGCGGATGTCATGATTCCAACCTCCTCGAAGCTACGACGACCCTTGGAACTGTTTCTTCTCGGACACGGAAAGTGTTGCTGAATAGCTGTTTTGATGTCAATAGGATTGGCTGGCATGCTTTAGAAAGTGATCAAAATTGTCCCTCTTTGGGTATTATTTTAATGGGGGCCAAGAGACCACGCACATCGCAGGGTTTAGCCTTTGGTAATCTCGTCTTCCTCGTCCTCCCACTCGCCCGTATCCTCCATGGCCTCATTGACCTGGTATTCGGCATCCCCAGCCAGACCCTCGCTGTCAAACTCGTCGTCATAGTCCATGTCCACGTCACTGTCATCAGCCTCCTTGTCCTTTCCGGCATTGGCTTTCCGCTTCTTTTCAACGTTCTCCTTTTGTTGCTTCCGCCTAGCCTCCTTCTCCTTCTGTCTCTGCTCCCAGCGCTTCTCCAACTCCTTTACCTCCTCCTTGGACTTGTGGACATACTCGTGCCACATGACCTTTCCAGAGCACAAGCCTTCCTCAACCTTGGTCAGACGCAGGCGCATACGAGGACCCAACTCGACGAGCTTCACGGCACGCTTTTCAACGGCATCATCTTCGTTGGCCATATCATCGTCGACCGGGGCAGCGCTTTTCCTGATCTTCTGAGCCTTCTGTTCCTTGACCTCGACCTCGGCATCACTGTCGAGCTCGCTTCCACTGGTTGCATCGGTAAGATATCCGTCCCCGTTTTCTCCGCCCTGAAGAAAATCGGCGATATCTTCCAGCTTTCCTAGATTCGGCACACCGCCCTTTCCGTTCGTCTTTGAAGCCAATAGCTTCTCTGCCTTTTCGAGTCTTCGCAGTGGCCTCGAGATTCCTGTTGACCGTGTGGTAATGGCGTAGTGTCGCATGTTGATGATGAAGGACCCCTCGTTCTCCGGGTCCTTTTCGCGGTTAAGCAGCAACGTGCGTTTAATCTTGCTCAGGGGGGTCGCATTCGGGTTCAGCGGAGGGAAGACACTGGACCAAACGGAGGTCACCAATGACTCGAGATGTTTGGGCACCTTGGATGTTGCGTCGGCGTCGGGGGTATGGAAGTTGTTCATGACGAGCTGGGATTGTTTAGCATCGATTCATGCGGATAGGGAAATTGATGTCGTACCAATGGCGGAGCAATCTGCTCTTTTCCACTGCCCTTGGGACGTCTCTGGGACTTCTGTACATCCTTGCACAAAGAGTATTTTTCGACCCGGAAGTTCAGAGTAGGGCCTCGAGGCGTGAGTGCCACACGCAAGTTGGTATTGCCACTCTCTGATCGCGAAAATAGCATCAGGTGAGTGACGCCGAGGGGGCCGGTCATGACGACGTAGTCCTTCAATCGGTTTGCCCTTCTCTCCTTCATTCGACTGGCAGTCCCCGGTTCCATGACCTTTCGGAAATCGGCAGCAAGCTGGCTCACACTGGAGCCAACCTCACCCGCGCCGATGCGGATGACCATGCTCTTGGGATCCTTTGCGCCATTATTCTCGCCGGCGGTGGCAGGGTTGCTGGCACCGAGGTGCGTCCTCTTCTTGACTCTCTTGCGCGCCATCTTTTGTTGTGTTCGGAGTGGTGATTGGCTTGGAGTATGAAAACCTTGACGTCGACAAGTTGTCGAGGGACCAAAATCCGCAATTCGAAAAGTATCTGGGCCTGGGGACGAGACCTGGATGCTTTGGCCGTCTGCAGGAAATTTTTTGGCGGGGCCCGGTCGATAAGAACCCAAAAAACAGCCTTCACGTGCTGATAACACCCAGTTCCCCACTAAAAACTTTCCGAGAGCGTGGGATGTCATCAGGTAGCGTCCACTGCTAAACTTTTTGCACCGAAGCCTTCGACAACCGCTTTTCCTCTTTGCGCCACACCGCACAACGAGCTTTTCACGACGAAGATGCCTTCCTCGACGACAAAACAGGCGTCATTGAAGGCGAACGTGCCTTCCTCCAAGCGACAAAAGGTGGCGCAAAAGGGCTCGTCTTCCAAAGTGTCTCGCAGAGTCGAGGCGGAAGCTTCTCCATCCCCACCAGCCGAGTCTGAAGCCGAATCTGAATCCGAAGACAATGTCGCAGCCGATGCCGATTCCGATGTCGAGATCAATGCTGATGTTACTGCCGATGCCACTGAGGAAGTGACCAAGAGCTTCAAGGAGCTGGTAAATTGCAACCAAGACCCCTCCTTTGGCCCGTGATGGTCTCTAATGTCAATGTTCCAGGGTGTCGTCGAGTCCCTATGCGAAGCATGCGAATCTCTCGGGTACAAGAAGCCCACGCCCATTCAGGCTCAGTCAATTCCTCACGCCCTTGCGAACCGCGATATCATTGGTCTGGCCGAGACAGGTTCAGGGAAAACGGCGGCTGTTAGTAGACCCTTGCTTCCTTCCATACACACCTTCAGCCCACCTCGGGACCGTACTATGAGAGTCCAGATAGGGTTGAGACGAATATGCAGGCTTGGTCAAGTGTCCAAGATCCTTGTGTAATGAAAATGTGAAACCTGATCGTTATCAACTTTCACGAATCCCCTGCCGGTTTCCTATACTGTATGGACTACAATGCTACCCAATGCAGCCGCTAACTACCATTCACAGTTCGCACTCCCCGTTATTCAAGCACTCTTGGAGAAACCTCAACCATTCTTCGGACTTGTTCTCGCGCCCACAAGAGAGTTGGCGGCACAGATTGGTGCACAGTTCGAGGCACTTGGTAGCCTGATCAACTTGCGATGCGCCGTGATTGTCGGCGGTCTCGACTTCGTTGAGTCAACCCCGTCATAGATCTTCCCGCCG